CAGTGACCATCCTACAATGCACAAAAGTGTTTAAATGTGTGCGTCCCCCTCCTATACCAGAAGCTACTGGAGGGCAGTGCTCTGAATGTCCCTGGCGTGTACTTTAGTATTTTGCATACAATAAGCACTCAGTAAATGTTATTTCCTACCCTGTGAGTTCCTTTAACAGAGCCTGATTAGAGCAAAGAACTCTGTAAACGAGCGCATCCTTCTCCTCCCTCTAGCTACCACCACAGCTCTCTGACCTCAGAGTCCTCCAGTCCCATTATTTATGGTTTATTTCCTGTCGGTTTATCAGCCCCCTCTGACTGCTTTTCATTCCTGACCCAGACAAGAATCAGACTAAGAATCTGATTATTCTGCAATATTCTTGCTGAATCCACCAGGCAAAACCCAAACTTGGATCAAGGTCTCCCTGTCCATCTTTCCTGCTCCTATACCAGGGCAACTGAGTGTTACCAAAGTAAAACACAAAATGCTTGGAACCAAAAGTGTTTTGAACTTTGGAGGATTCTTTCAAATTTTGGAATATCTGCATTATACTTACTGGTTGAGCATTTTAAGTGTGAAAATCTGAAGTCCTAAATGCTCCCAAATCTGAAACTTTTTGAGCACTCGACATGATGCTCAAAGGAAATGTTCCTTGGATCCAATTCTGGATTTCGGATTTTCAGATTTGGGGTGTTCAACCTATAATCTGGCTGTGCAGAGGCAAACCTGAGCTTATAGTGTAGCCAGGATGTACCTAGGCGCCAATACCAACATCCATCTTTTTTCTTGTTTTTGCAGCCTGTCTTGTCTTTATCCTTCCCAAGGGCCCACTTGAAGCCCAGTGACTCCCATTCTGAGCAGAGCTCCTGAACGTGTCTCACAGAAGGGAAGTTCTAAAATGTGATCTCTCTCTACTTGCCCCTTCAAGCCCTTCTGCAGTTGCACCATCCTTACATCCCTTCTCTAGCCCTGCAGCCTCTTAGCCCTCCTCTTCCAGACCCGCCCTACATCTAGCCCTGGTTGCCAAGGTCCCCCCGCCCCATACATCCTGATCTTTGCTCTGTTAGCTTGATTCTATCTTCAGCCTCCCTCCCTACTGAGTTCTTCACCTCAACCTCTGAATACAGACGGTCCCTGACTTAGAACTTTTCGACTTCAAGACGGAGTGAAAGTCAAAACTGTAAAAACTGTAGTTTTGAGTACTCACACAACTGTTTGTCATTTTCAATATGGTTTTCAATAAATTACATGAAATATTCAAGACTTTATTATAAAATAGGCTTCATGTTAGATGATATCACCCAACCATAGGCTAATGTACATGTTCCGAGCACACTGAAGGTAGGCTGAGCATATTAAATGCATTTCCAACTTAGGATATTTTCAACTTACGAGGATGGATGGGTTCATCCACACATAACTCCATCCTAAATCAAGCAGCATCTGTAGTTAAAGTTCCTCTCAGCTTCCCTCCTTTTTCTCAAAACACAAGCCTGCTCCCCCTGCTTTCATCCTTCAGCTCAATGACAAATCGGCTCTTACCCACATGGCTTTGTTGAAATAGCTCTAGATGGGATCCACAATCAATAGTGCCAGAGATTGCCTGTGAAAGTCATGAAATTTTTATTTATGCAAGAAATGTTTTACAATTTAAAAGTGATTAGGCCTCCTGAATGCTTTATAAATGTCACTGTAACTCAACTGTATAACTTGCCTGCTTTGTAGTTAGGTAAAACCTAGGCCACATGGAGTTAAATGCTGGAATGAGCCAGACCTTATCTGTACTTCTGTCTAGGTCCTAGGCTCTGCACCCAGTACATAATTAAAATCCCAAACTTACCAAGGTTTTCAACAAAGGTAAAGGTTGCTAGACGTTAACAGTGTAACATGTATTTAAACTACGGAAGGAACAGTTTATGTGCAAGGTGTGTAAGGAAAGTAAAATATACTCTTGGTAAAAAGATTATAAGGTGGCATAAGAATGTGAATTTTTACCTACATTAAAAGGCTGAAGAATTGTTTTGAAGGCTTAAGCAAGTTTTGGAAGGTTAATTGTAAAAGAAATTCTGTGTGCAAACACATTAGCTAAAGCTACAGGGGTATCATCCAGTTTTTCTGTAAATTGAGCATTAAAATAAAAGCACAATGGGTTTCTCTTAAAGCACTAATCTGCTCTTAACAAAAATTATAACGGGTTAAACAAAGGTCTATAAAAATCTTACCTTAGAAAACCAAACACCTGGCTGGGTGCGGTGGCTCACGCCTATAATCCCAGCACTTTGGGAAGCCAAGGCGGGCAGATCATGAGGTCAAGAGATGGAGACCATTCTGGCCAACATGGTGAAACCCCATCTCTACTAAAAATACAAAAGTTAGCTGGGTGTGGTGGTACATGCCTGTAGTCCCAGCTACTTGGGAGGCCAAGGCAGGAGAGTTGCTTGAGCCCGGGAGGGGGAGGCTGCAGTGAGCGGAGATCTCAACACTGCACTCCAGCCTGCTGACAGAGCAAGACTCCTTCTCAAAAAAAAAAAAAAAAAAAAAAAGAGAAAACCAAACACTGCATGTTCTCACTCATAAGTGTGAGTTGAACAATGAGAACACATGGACACAGGGAGGGGAACATCACACACCGGGGCCTGTCGGGGGATGAGGGGGTACACATTCTGCACATGTATCCCAGAACTTACAAGTATAATAAAAATAAAAAAGCTTACCTTATAGTTAAACACTAAAATTGGGTAAATGCATCTACAAGGTTATTTTTAGAAATTGAGTTTAACATTAATAGCACACTAATATAAAGGTAAAATTTGGCTTATTTGGTATAAAATCATACAGGAAGCATTATCAAATATAAAATGGCATTTGGCTTTCTTTGGGCTTTATTTGTATAAATATGTTAATAGTATGTGCCCCAAAGTTATGGATGACTCCTATAATTCTGATACAGCTTAGTGCATGTTATCAGTAATAATTACAATTGTTATAATTATTGTGTGCCATCCTTGTTAATTGTGTTTTTAACAATGGCTACCCTAAAACTTTTGTCATCCATAAATAACTGTTGTCTTGTGTTGGTCCTCTTTAAAAGGTGGTTTTGAGCCGGGCGCGGTGGCTCAAGCCTGTAATCCCAGCACTTTGGGAGGCCGAGGCGGGTGGATCACGAGGTCAAGAGATCGAGACCATCCTGGTCAACATGGTGAAACCCCGTCTCTACTAAAAATACAAAAAATTAGCTGGGCATGGTGGCGCGTGCCTGTAATCCCAGCTACTCAGGAGGCTGAGGCAGGAGGATTGCCTGAACCCAGGAGGCAGAGGTTGCGGTGAGCCGAGATCGCGCCATTGCACTCCAGCCTGGGTAACAAGAGCGAAACTCCGTCCCCCCAAAAAAAAAGAAAAAAAAAAAATAAATAAAAGGTGGTTTTATAATCAGCTATAAAGCTCTAACACGTGCTCTTGAATGCAGGTTTCTGATAACTTTATAGATTGTAACATCAGAATAGAGGAAAAACATTCAGGATGCGTGAAGGGCTAAAATGTTCATTAATATCAAGCAGGACAGGAATGAACTGCATGAACTAACCTAACAGGAAACTGGAGTGATCTTTTTGATGTTCTGTTTAAAATATTGCTAATCCTTTGTTTTGCTTTTCAAAGTCAAAGAAATTTTTCTTTTGAGATATTAACAGTTTTCAACAATTTAGTGTACTCCCATAAACAAAATTTGGAGCATACTTGTTTCTCTCTACCTGATTTTCTCCAGAATTTGGAAACTGTATTTTCAAGTTGTGGCAATATAGTTATTTGCATAAGTGCAATAAGAATCTGTTTTCTTTTGTAATAGGACACAGTGGGAGAAACCAGCTTTAATTGGAATGATATGCTTTCCTTTGAGGAATCAAACTTGCCTTATGAAGCCAAGAAGGCCCTTGGAAACTGGCCTCATATTCTGGCTACACAGTCCCTGTACAGGCATTCTGATCTGTAATAAGTAAAGAATGTCACTTTCTAGCAGGCCAGGAACCCAAGTTACGTTGGAACCTCAAGAGGAAAGAAATTCACCAACTCATACGTATTTGATGGTACAAATCCATGGCTTGGCTTCAAAAGGTCTTATCTCATTTTCCTTCTATGAAACAAAGTTCCATCAAAACTACTTAAAAGTCCGACGTAACAAATAATTATTCTTACTGCACCATATACAAATAATTACGCAAATAATAATAAAGCAAACCAGTCCTGCCACGATTTGTCGTTTAATAAAAATGGTAAACTGGAGAGAGAAAATTATGTTTCAAAAACTATAGCACACCTATTGTTAAATTCTAGTGTTGCCTAATATTTTACAATTTTTATTATTTTCTACTGTTTAAACTAAACTCTGATTTTTCTGGCTACAAGTTTCCAAAATAAAGATGTTCTTTCCTTTTTTTTTTTTTTTTTGAGACGGAGTTTCACTCTTGTTGGCCAGGCTGGAGTGCAATGGCTCCATCTCGGCTCATGGCAACCTCCACCTCCCAGGTTCAAGGGATTATCCTACATCATCCTCCTGAGTAGCTGGGATTAAATGGGCCATCACACCCGGCTAATTTTGTATTTTTAGTAGAGACAGGGTTTTTCAATATTGGTCAGGCTGGTCTGAAACCCCTGACCTCTGGTGATCCACCCACCTTGGCCTCCCAAAGTGCAAGGATTATAAGGTGTGAGCCACCTCGCCTGGCAGCTGTGCTTTCTTAAAGCCCTATAAACTGAAAACTAAATGTTTCAGCAGGTGCTGTCTCTAAGCCCCCTGATCATCACAGGAGGAAACCTCTTTATTGCTGGTGCTGACAAATAATAACTGAGGGTGCCCGGAATCTTTCGTCCCCATGTCTAGTGAGTCCATGGAACCCACGGTAATTAAAATGGTATCTGTTGTAGGAATCAATTCCTAAATACGTCACACTCAAGTCAAAGCCTGGAAAGCTGAGGAGGAAACCTGTGACAGGTCAAGAAACATCCTAAATATCAATGTTAAAAAAAAAGCACATCTTAAGCTGAAACTCATAAAAGATAAGCAACTAGGTGAGAACTACTCATCTTACTCAGTCTCACCCCTAACCTCCCCAAATACTTCTGTCATTCCCACCTCTCCTTTTAAGCCAAATATTAAAACTTTTTAATGGAAATTATTTACTATGCCACCCTTGTGGGAACTGCTTTACTCTACTATTTGCAGTAGAACTAGATACTGTAGCACCCTCAGGGTGGAATATCAAACAGAACATCTCAAATTACTATAGCATTTTGCTTAATTATTATCCTCATAGCAGGAATAACGGTTACTAACAGAAAATTTCCAAACATGCACCTCTGCCTCTCATTAGATAAGAAAAGTTGTTTCTATATTAGCCAATCGGGCCTAGCAAAAAGCATTGCTAAAAAACTTAAAGAAAAGGCTAAAAAGCTGACGCAGTACCAGAACAACCACATAGACTCTTGGTTTGAAAACAAAATCACAACATGGGTCATCCCATTCCTGGGCCCTCTCCTAATAATATGCCTGGGATTAATGTTCTTACCCTGCCTAATTCAAAGATTTTTAACTGACATCCTGCAGACGGCATTGCTCCTACAGTCAACCCGAGACCAGAAAACTCTCCGTCCTAATCACCAGGAAGTAGCCAGAAAGAACATGCCGTCCTATCCCTTTTTATAACTACAGGGTCTGGATTGACAGAGCAAGAGCACTGCCATCTTGGACAAGCCCCTCATTCAAATGTTCACCGATTCCCACAAGGGTGGCATAGCAAATAATCCTCCATTAAAAAGTTTTAATATTTGGCTTAAAAGGAGAGGTGAGAATGACAGAAGTATTTGGTGAGGAAGGAGTGAGACTAAGATGAGTAGTTCTCATCTAGTTGCTTATCTTTTTATGAGTTTCAGCTTAAGATTTGCTTTTTTTTACATTAAAAAAAAAAAAAAATCCAAAAGGTATCAGCCTAATAGCTAAGGTCGGCACGACCACACACCACAAATAACATCTCCAACCACAAATATTCCAAACTCCTTCCAGACCAGAGACATGCTAGCCCGCAGATAACCCCTCTCCGGGCCGGAAAGATGTCTGCCCCAAGATAACCTCCCCACCTCCCAGAGAGATTCCAACCCCACACATAAACATTCCAAGCTTGTGATAATCCCCCTTCACCCTAAAACCAATATATACTCTTAGTCTGTAAGAGAAAGGGCTCTTGACCGAAACCGGTCAGGAGCACCTCTCAGGTTTTAAGTAAAGAAAACCTGTCTCTGTGGCCGGGCGCGGTGGCTCAAGCCTGTAATCCCAGCACTTTGGGAGGCCGAGGCGGGTGGATCACGAGGTCAAGAGATCAAGACCATCCTGGTCAACAAGGTGAAACCCCGTCTCTACTAAAAGTACCAAAAATTAGCTGGGCATGGTGGCGCGTGCCTGTAATCCCAGCTACTCAGGAGGCTGAGGCAGGAGAATTGCCTGAACCCAGGAGGCGGAGGTTGCGGTGAGCCGAGATCGCGCCATTGCACTCCAGCCTGGGTAACAAGAGCGAAACTCCGTCTCAAAAAAAAAAAAAAAAGAAAACCTGTCTCTAACTGCCAGCCGCGTTTTGTTTCTTTCCTCTTTAACTCTTACAAATAGCTCACATCCAAATCCAGTGGGCAGCACATCCAAGTCCAGGACAACCGGACTTCACTGCTACGTCTGCTCACTATTCCTCTGACCAGCAGCACTCCTGGGGCTCCTTCCCCTCGTTAGCTGCTCATCCTTTCTGTCCTTCAATATCTTCTCTAACACGTTGGGGGATCAAAGCCCCCTGAAATCAGTCCCTGCCCCACAACCCTGCCTCTTCTCATGCACCAGAAACTACACCTTCCCGCTCGACCGGAATGTGTTCAGGTCCCCGTCTCTCAGACAGCCTTTCCCCACTGCCTAGAATGCCCTCCCTCCCACACGACCTCCCCAGCTGCCTCCTCACAAACTGAGTCAGATCCACTCTTCTAAGCTCCGCAAGCCCCCGGTACGTCTTTCTACCCTTTTACACGGAAGGTGAGTCTTTGCCTACACACGTCGGTCCCTCTCACCGGGCTGTCAGCGCCTCCAGGGCAGGGCTGCCGGACCGTTCTTCGAGACCCCTCTCCAGGTCTGGCCCAGAAAAGGTACTCAGGTTTGTTGAAGCCCACGAACGAAAGGAGTGATTGTCATGTAAGCAAAACTGCTCTCGCTAAGCCACGGACGAAGAGCAAGGAAGAGCTCACCGGCGCGGCCACTCACCGATGAGGACCGCGTTGTCCAGGTTTCGGAGCTGGGCCAGCAGTTGCCCCCGCGCCTGGAAGATGGGCAGACTCCGGCGCTGCAGCTCCACGGCTTCAGGGTAGGGACTGGCTGAGGGCTGGGCCAGGGGCGGCTGCTGCCTCCGGCCTCCTCCTCCACCTCTGCCGCCGCTGCCCGCCGTCAGCAGCATCACCACTCGCCTCCCGGGAGGGAAGGACCCAGCGCGGCTCGGAGGCCCAGAGCCCGGCCGGAATCTCTTGGCGGGCGGGAAACCCGCCTCCTCCGGCATGTCGGGAGGGCACCGCGGCGGGAGGAGCAAGCGCCGCGCCAGCAGCTCCGGCCCCCTCCCAGGTGCCAACAGCGGGCGCGCACCGCCCTTTCCTTGCCACGTGCTGGAGGCTCCTGGCGACCACCGATGACCTCACGGCCGCCCCAGCCTTTAGAAAAGGGACTGCAACTCCCAGCATGCATTGGGGGCTTGGGATGGCGTTCAGTTCCTGGAGGTGGGAAAAGCAGGGCCTGAGGTGCAACCAGGAAAAGATCCGGAGCCACAACCGCGAAAAACAAGGTGTACGGTTCCGTTGGACTGCAGTCTCGGTTAACGAGGTTTTTCCTCTTTGTTTTGTTTTAGTAGCATTACGTCTTTCCAGTAAACACGCGTTTTCCCCTTCTCTGTCGAAATAAGTCACTCTTCAAGGAAAGTACTTAATTCTGTAAAAATCAATGAGAAGCACAAACGTGTAGCATCTAATCCTCTAAGCAATTTATAGGGTTATTTAATCCTTTAAACAACCTCTTAATTCTACCACAAATTATGTGGTAGATGCTGGTTGTTAAATTATCCTTAATTTACAGATAAAGAAACCGAGTCTTCTGAGATTAGTCATTCAGATGTCCCCAAATCATCCTGTGTTACAGAAGAGGAAAACAAATTCTATGACATACATGAATTAAACTCAGAAAATGACTACTCTAGCGGATGTGGTCGCCTACACTAATACAAGCAGAGAAAGGAGGGAGTTCAATGAAACTAAGATAAAATTGTACTTTATCTTTCCTTTTCCCCAACCATTCCAGCCAGACTCTCAAGTTCTCTACATGGCTGTCCAAACATATCATAGACAGTTCAGTGAAAAGATTCAGAACTGCAGCAGAAAAAAAATAGGATATAACTAGTTTCCCCTTCCCCTCCTAAGTTCTTAGATGATTTGCTAATTTACCACGGAGAATGGCAAGTAGCTGTTTGCCCTTAAAGGAAATGTTATTTCCAGAGAATACACTGTAAGCTTCAACGCATGCGAAGGACATCTTCTGAAGCTCCTTTCCATGAAACTCGCCCTGTATGTGAACCTGTTAAAAATCTCCCTTCCCATCATTCGTTAGAGAACAAGTATAAAAACAAAAAACTTCCCCTTTCCTCCAGATCAGAGAGAATTTTCCTCTAGTTGCTGACAGCTTGGTGACCAGGCATTGCTGAAAATGTTCATGTTGAGCCAGCAGCAGATGTGTGTTTAAGAATAAACTGACAATTAAAGAAAATAAAACTGACAAACTTTCACTTCCTGTCCTGAAATACTAATTTAGAAAGGCAAGCGAAAACTAAGCGATAATAAATGTTAGCCATGCCAGGAGCGGTGGCTCCCGCGCGTAATCCCAGCACTTTGGGGAGCCGAGGCGGGCGGATCACGAGGTCAGGAAATCGAGACTATCCTGGCCAACATGGTGAAACCCCATGTCTACTAAAATCACAAAAAAAATTAGCTGGGCGTGGTGGCGCACGCCTATAGTCCCAGCTACTAGGGAGGCTGAGGCAGGAGAAATGCTTGAACCCAGGAGGTGGAGATTGCAGTGAGCCGAAATTGCACCAGTACACTACAACCTGGGCGGCAGTGCCAGACTCCGTCTCAAAAAAAAAAAAAAAAAAAAAAAAAAAAAATTAAAAATAAATGTTAACTTTCAAATTATGGACCTTAAGTAAAGACATCTCAGTCCTTTTCCCCAGTGTGCTTTTCAGAGTAACTTAATGTAGGAGTCCTACATTCCAAATGATTACAATAATTTAGGTAATATAAATAGGTGGACTTATTTCTTGGTGGAGCACATGTCACCTCTGGATGCAGTCACTAATCATTTCTAGGCAATGGCTGTCATGCAGACTGATTATTGCCAGATCTTCTAATTTTCTCAAGAAAAGTCAAAAGTGAAGATTTTCATGTCAATGTTAAATACAAGCTTAAAAAAAAAAAAAAGGTAACCAATCTGTAGGTAACTCATCCATAGTCTCTGGCCTAATGACCTGGCAGCTATTCTGTAACCTCAAAGCCAAGAGGACCAAAGAGTTGAAAAATTAAGTCCTATGTATACATCAAGCCATGTTGCCCACATCTGTTTCTCCTAAAGAAGTCTTTGTGGTTCAGCCTCTTTCATATGCAGATACTAACAAGCTAATAACTATTCAAAGAATATCCTGGTTCTTTCTCCAAAAGATGAAGTGTCAGACACATTTCATTCCCAACTTGTCTAGGATGGTTTGTGGACTTAATTGGTCTGATCATGACCATACCAGCTGGCAGTCACCTCTGCTTTTCTGACCACCAAATCACTGCCCTTGATCATGTTCTGTTTTGCTCCATCCCACTTTCAGAGACAAACACAAGCTTCAGCAATGAGGCCCAAGCTTGCATGCATACACTTTAATCCCTCTATAATTAAAAATACCAGATAATACTTTGCTGATCAATAAACAAAAGTATTTATTCAGCACCCATGTGCCAAGCACTGTGCTAGGCACTGTGGTGGATACAAAAATTAAGACATGGTCCCTGCCCTTAAGGAGCTTACATTCTCATGAGGGAGACAAGACTAATATACATGTACCAGCTAGGAACAATACAAGACAATATATAATCTGGCATAAGAATATGTCATACAGACTTGAAGCTTTATAGGGATTCAGAGACAGACAATAAAATAGGCCTTAGAGTCAAGATTTTTGGAGGAATCAGGAACAAGACCAGGCCTTGAAGAACTGAAGATAATTAAGTTGAGGTCCCTGTTAGGTAGAAGTGGGAGTCAAGGAAAAAAAAACAAGGATGCATATGATAGAGGGGCTTACTAAGAAGTCACTGTGGATTTCTGAGAAGTGACTTGATCATACAAGATTCAACAATTTTATTGCAAACTCAAAATATGTTTAAGCAGCCTGGAGACATCCTACAGAACACAGAAAATAATGGCAGGATCATGACTAACAACATAGCTGGAACTCACCTGTCAAAGAAAAACAGCCACAACATAAAACATCGTTAGGATAAATGACAGTAATTCTAGGAAGCCCATTACCAAACATGGTAATAGCTCCAATTTGTCCTTATTTTCAGAGGCCCTGGAGACACCTCTGTCTGCTTCTAAAGACTACACAAGAGGTATGAAAGCTATGAGGACATACAAGAGTGACACAGAAAAAAACAAGTGGAAGAGAGAAACAAATAGAAATCCATAGTGAAAAAAATGCACCGAAATGTATAAAAATGTATCTCCTAGGGAGATGCAATTTGTACGTCCATTTATTTTTAAATGAACGTATAGTGTATTTCCATAACAACAACAAAAAAAACCTATGCTTAAGTCAAGTGTGCTTTTCAGTATTACTGGAAGAATCCAGGAATCCCTCATTATGTGTAAGGTTAGTTGGTCATAAAATTCCATCTATCAAATCTCACTTTTATTTTATTTGCATTGTGAAAAGGAAGTGTGTTCTGGAAGAATCAAGATTGAGGGGCAAATTGGGTGGAAAGTAAGGACTTTTCCGTATGTCCATTCAAGCACAGGTATCCTGTCAGGCAACACAGGGCTAGGAATCATGGTAGTAGGGCTGGCCAAACTGATGAGAGGTGATTGAAATTACCACTGCCCAGGACACAGTGTAGTCACACAGCATGTCATCCTGCCACTAGGAATTTGCACCCTATAAAATCAGAGAAACCAAAAATCCCATAACTGCCTGCCTTTAGGCTATACATTCAAAATACATTTCCTGTTTTACCCAGTCATTAATGTATACAGATATTCCCTACTTAAATGAAAAGTGAGTGAATAGATTTTAGAATTAGCATTTTACCACAACAATGCCACTACTTGGATAACTCAAAGTTAACTCAGGGAGAACAAATAAAACTAGAGAAACCCATCTCTAGCCCAAAAACAATTTAAAAAAAACAAAAAACTCTAACAAACATCACTGATAAAGCTTTCTTGAGCAAAAACAAGATATGATAAAACTTAAGAATCTCATAAGGAGTATACACTTTAAGATTGGCTTTTAAACTTTAAAGCTTTTTAAAACCACTTAAAGAAAAAGCAGTCCCATAGACACAGGTTCCATAAAATTGCAGCAATCGTATTCAAAGTTACTAGCAACATGTAAAATACTTAAATTCCATTAGTTATCCAATTCCATTTAAAGATATTAAAACACTTTTCACTTCAAAAACAATCTGAAAATTCCTATTTAGGATGTATGTTATGTTTAAGCCTATGTCTATCCTGCTGAGGACAATCACACATTCTGGAAAGCTACCCCTTAAGAAAGGTTGTACTATTAACAATCCACTTTTGTGAAAGGGACCTGTGTCTATACACTGTTAATGATAGCTGTTTGGAATCATCTCTTTCCTTAGGGGTGCTCTTTTGACTCTTCCAGGTCTGTGAGTTACTTAAGCAGTGTGAATGCAAACCTGCTGAGACTCAGGGAAGACTGAATATTTGGGGCAAGTATTTATTGAGCCACAGCATTAAGTATCTACTTCTGTGGACCCTGTCTAATTTCTACCTGATTGGGAAGGTAATCCAAGTACTTGGCTCTGAAAAGGTTCTTGGATTTTCATGAAGCAAATGACTAATGTTAACTAGCCAAAGACCCTGGAGAAACATACACCTAACTGGTATCTGTTCATCTGGCTCCAAAGTCAATATTCTAACT